GTGGCGTTGTCCCGTGGGAAGACGGGAGGAAAAAGGGAACCGCCCCTCCTATCCGCTGTGTGGCGCCTTCATCCGCAAAGGGATGGGTGAAAAAAACACTACCCGATAGAATGATAGGGGAAAGGAAAGGGGGGGGGGGGTCCGAACACGCGCGCGGCGTCGGAGCCGGTCCTGCTCAACACATTATGTCCCCCTACAAGCGCGACGGAGGGGTCCCCCTGGAGCAGGAGCAGCCACGAGGAGTCCATGGGAACAACCGGCAGCGACGGGCAGAGACAGAAAGGAGGGGGGAGGGGGAGGGGGGGACAGAGAAAGGACCACCCGCATTTCACCCGGACACACCGAGGGCGCCCGGGGAGCGCAGGGACACACTGTGGGACACTACGCACCTGCATGTAGCTCGTGAAGTGGCCGTTGGTGCGGTTGCGCGCCGCCTCGCGCGCCACCGCCGTCCTGACCTCCTTGATGTCGTTGTAGATGGGCTGCATGTCTTCGGCCGACAGCCCCAGGCTGGCGCGCTTGGCCGGCAGCCCTGCGCGACAGAACGAGAGAGAGAGAGACGTTGTAGTGAGCAGCCTAAGGAGGGACGAGCTGGTGGGAACTACTCTGGTGGTGTGGTGATACTACTTGTTCCGTGGCCGTAGTCGGTCGGGAACGAAGAGTACCCCCACAGAGTTTAGCACGCCGGCCGTACGCACGCACGGCGCCTTTTCCAGGGAAGAGCTGCAGCTCTGCTGCCATTCGAGAGGGGCCGTAAAGTGAAAAGTATACACCGCGATGCTGGAAGGTCATGGGGCGCTGCTGTAAAACTACAGCCCCCCTAATGCGCGACAAGCGTCAAACCACAGGGCTGTTACCAGCCACAGCACCGGGTTGCCGATGCACGTCGTGCACGTTTCGTAGCGATGCTCCACCGCACGCAGGCGTGCATGCAGCGGATGAAGCGCAGGGTCCCGCCGGAGTCCCAACGGCCCCCCGACGCGTAGGCAACCTTGTGGCACGCCTGCGTGCGGTGCTGCATCACGACAACAAGTACGACGCGACGTGATCAGCAGTGAGCGGAGCCGCAGGTCACGATTAGAAATGCGCGTTTATAATAGACACCTGTTAGCTGGGGAGTTTTGTAAAAGAAGTGTTTGTTGCTCGTTAGGTATATTTTACCAATTGGTCACCGGTTTTAACTTCTCTCTCTCTTACTCACCATTGGCAGCGCACTGCGGGCACGCCTCGTTCTGCACCAGGCAGTCGTAGCAGCGTTCGTGTCCGCACGAGTCGATCAGGCGCCTCTTCTTGCCCTTGTCGAACGGCATGTGGCAGCTGGGGCAGAACTCGAGGGCCTCGACCGCGCCGCGGAGCTGCTCCAGATCTGGAATAAGACGGAGGAGGAGGACGAGGAGATTAGTCTGGGGTTCAAACACCGGCACCGTCACGGACCTTTCCCCTGAGAATAAAGAGGGGAGGGCGAGGCCCTGCTTCGCGTTATTCCCACTCACTCATAATTTTTTTCACCAACTTATTTTTTTTCTACAGTTTTTTTTTTCATTTTGCCTCCGACGACCGTCGTCGCCGCCGACATACGACGCATGTCGCCCCCACGCCCGCCTCTTCCCTTCGAGGAGGGCTTCCCTGCTCTTATTCCCATCTCGTTTGGCTCGTCAGATTGGAGTGGGGGG